ACCCGAATCGTCATGTCCTCGGAGCCCGATGCCACGAGCGCAGAGTCATGTGAGAAGGCCACCGACATGACCCCGTCTTCATGATCTTCAAGCGTCTGGATGCACTCGCCCGTGGCCGTGCGCCAAACTCGAATCGTCCTGTCATGGGAGCTTGATGCCACGAGTGCAGAGTCGTGTGAGAAGGCCACAGACGTGACCGAGTTGTCATGGCCCTCAAGCGTTTGCAGAGATTGACCCCAGTCATCATTTACCTTTGGTTGTGGTGATATCCATCGCGGAAAGCGGCTCGCGAACGTAGTGCGCACTCTGCTCCTTCTTGGCGAAAACACAAGGAGGGAGGAATACAATTGAAGTGGCGTGTTCTCGATGGCGAAACTATATGCTTGGACGAAACGCATTGCGTCATCTAGGAATTCAGACAGTTGTTTGGGCCCGTCCTGACTTGAAATTAGCTGTGTGTATACGCTCATGGCTTATGCGCACCACGAACCTTGTAGAGTAGCTGCAAAGCCCCAACGAGATGAACGCTCTCCCTGGATCTCCCTATCAGGCTTAATGATTCTAACCAATGGAGGGAATGACGCTCTAGAAAGGACATGACCTGGTCGCAATGGCGAGCAGGCGCGCCTCCGTTCCGTAAGTGATAGACCCAGTATAAACAGGCATACTGAACAGCTGGCGGAATAGATGCCTCAATTATATGTTGTTCGATAGCCGACCGAAACGTCCCAGGAGCCTTGATATCGCACATGTCTTGCTGCAGACATTCAAGCACACGCAGGCAGTGCGCCGCCATCACCTGGTGCGTCTCTTTCTCGTCTACCCAAAACGGATTCTCTGCTCGTTGACCTGGGTCCACTAGAAAGTCGCGAAAGGATAGATGAAGCAGCCGCACTGGTGCCTCGGCCGTCTCCGGGATGCTGAGTACGGAGTGTAGCATGTCCAATTTGTCTTCAATGTCCTCTTTGGAGATACCGAGAATTTGGGCCAGTGCTGGTACTGATAGGGGGCTCGCAAGAACGACGATGCCACCGACAATGATTCGAAATGCTCGTACACTTTCCTGTCTTTGGTTTAAGGTCTTCCCATCGACCATGTTTTCCAACACAGGTAGGTACGTTGCAGCTAATTGTGAGCCTTCTACACTTTCTCGAACAAGGACCTTGGCAAGTTGTTTATCGGGTGATCCAAGCCTCCGATCACCGATGAAACGGCACGCGGTGGCGGCGAAGATGAATAGAGGGATTGCCATGTGAACAAGGATTCTCAGTTCGGAGGCGCCTGGCCATCCACCCGATAGTTGTCGCTCCTCCCGGACCGTCGAATTGTACTCGCGTCGGATTCTCTGGAGCTCTCCACGGAAAAAGATGGTTATGTCATGCGTGATCACATGTTGCGATATCTCATGAAGCCTCAAGTTTTGATACTCGCCTTCTATTTCCTTGAAGCCGAGACGTATTGGCAACTCTGGTCTGCTTGTTAGAAACACCTTCAGTCGCGCCGACCGCCCTTTTGCGGCACGCGACAAGAGACGAAACATCAACTTGATGTCTTTTTCATCCTCACATTCATCCAGCGCGTCGAGAACGACGATGGGCATTGGACTCGACGATTTAGAGGCAAGCATTGAAAGCGGCTGCCAGACGAGCTTGTCAAACTGCTCATGTGCCGACTTCCTCAGGATGCCGGGACAAGTTTCAATGGCGTCCTTTACATGCGGAGCAATCGTCGGTATGTTGTTGGCCAAGTCGGCTGCGAGGGTAGGAAAAACCTTCGACATGCTGGCTCGGTCAGTCTCGCCCCTCTTGAAGAAGAAGCTAGCGCCAAGACGATGAATGTGGGCTAGATCACGGGCGACTGTCCGAGCTATGGTCGACTTTCCAGTTCCCGCCATGCCGTTGAGCCAAAAAACACCCTCGGCACTAGGATCGTGAGCCCACTCTGACACTTGTTGCAGGAGGTCGACACGGGTTTCTCGCAGGCATGTCGGATGATGCTCCTCAGCGCGAGAGTCGAACGAAGCACCCTTGGCAATGTCAGACTCGAGTCGATCGAGCACAGCCCTCCGGTCGAGATCGATAAGGATGTTCCTAGCCACCGTTATGTCAGCTCCACAGTCGTTGGTCTTGGCGAGATCTTCGTACGTCTGATCGACTTGCAGGGCAAGATTGATCGCCTGAGTGCATCGCGCAATGTTTTGCATGATTCTTTCGACTTCTCTGCCCTGGAACGGCCATCTAAGAGTGCGGAGCCCAAGCCGTGTCAATGCCCCGCGTGCCGACGTTGGGCGAAGTCGTTCGTACACCGCTTGGAGTTCAGACTCGGAGTGCCGGACAGAGTTGCATAGCTGCTGCGATGCTTTGAGTCTCTCCCTGCTTGGCCCAGAGAGTAGCTCCTTGACGCCATTCGCAGCGGTCTGGAGCCCGATCACTTCCAGGCGGAATCGGACAATGTCATCTTTGGCATTCTTGACGGACTTGCAGTACTCGACACACCAGTCGGCGACTTTAACGGACAGGTCCACGACCGCGATGACATTGGCCGCAATGCCAAGCCCTTCCATAGTGGGCCACGGCCGCCGAGCGCATGTGAGTGTCGTGAATTTCGCTGGATGGAGAGAACACAATCAAAGGGTCATCTTGCGGAGAATGGATGGTCAACGGACCAGCTACCCATGCATCGCTGGCAATCGGAGGGCGGACAGCACAGCCCCAGCGGGGACGACGGCAGCCTCACTCGACTGGAGGTAAGGACGCCTGCCCAGGGGAGCCCCTTGATTGGCTGGCTGAGTGGGAGGCAGCCAGGATGCCTGCGCCAGGCACCAATCGTTCTTCTTCCCTAGCGATGCCGCCAGTAAGCGAGCAGGGTTCCTATTGGGACTGCGACAACTGCTAACAGAGGAGCATCTTCTCGTCGTACCCAGCATCGAGTTACTATGCGATCAAGGCCATCGCATGTTACCTGCGACTTGCAATGCATCGGAGTGTATTTGTCGGCGTCGCCTGCTGCGGCACGACGCGGTGGATCCCTGGCCGGCACGGGCCCTTGTCACGAAAGCCCTGGAGTCGAATCGCTCTCGGATTTCTCTCTTCCATCAGCAGCGACATGAACGCAGTGAATGAGACTTTCAGTGACACAGAGACCGCAAGCCAATCCTCTAGTGCTTCCAGTATCCACCCACCTCGCAACGATGCACACCCCCCTCCACGGAGCCAGCTCCGGCCTCAGCGTCCGGCTTTGCCCTTCGTCCCGTATGCCGACTGGGTCCCGACTCAGTCGTACGATTTCAACCCGCCGGTCTGCATCAAGTATGTCATGGAATGGAAGGTGGCCTTCAATAACAGGAAGATCCGCATACATACAGAAGACAATCTCGTGGTGGCGCTGAGCGAGCTCTGGAGTGAGCAATTGTGCGCAAAGATGCGCGACATCGCCAAGACGACGTCGAAGCCCAGCAGACCCGATTCTTCAACCACCGTCGTATCCGTGAACGAGAAATCCGAGCCGACTATAACAAAGAGGTTTGCGGAGCTTGAGATCGATTGGTCCCCTGTGGAACGGCAGCTACAAGCTTGGAGCCCTCTTCTCCGCATCGGGAAGAAGCTAAAGGTTGACGCCTCGTTCAAGTTCGCGGAGAGTGGCAAGGCGGCCCGTACCGCTGGGCGTGGTGCCACTGTCACGCAGCTTGCGGAGTCTGATGTGAGAATCGATGCGGAGCAAGCATCGCTCGGTGACACATCGCCGTACAGGCACGTGTACCAAGTGTTCCGTTGCCCAGGACCGCCATGTGCCCGTGGGCCGTACTGCTGGTTGGACCCCAATGGCCACAAACACTACAAACTCATGACGCATCAGCTCAAGAGGCTTGTCAAGTTTGTGCGGGAAGGCAACACATTGCAGGGGCCTGGCGACGTACCGGACTATATTCGCGAGCAACTATATGCCGAAGAGCAGCAGCTCAGCGATCGTAGGAAGAAAAGGAAAGTCTCCCCGTCGCCTGCAGAAGGCGTGCAACCCATGATCATCAACAACTATATCCCATCGCAGCAAGATGCCAAGCGATATTCGGAGCCATCTACCACTGGTGCGCGGGATACCTCTATTCCGCGTTCGCTGCCGCTTAGCATTCCCGGCCTACGAGATGAAGCCGTCAAGGAATACTGTAGATGGCATTGCTCCCAAGTGGGGAGCATGGACCAGAAGAGGGCATACGAGCTGGCCCGTGATCTGACCTTGGCGAGGAGCCTTGATCTGGAGCTTGTGGACGAGGACAACGACGCGCAGTTTTACATCGACAAAGGTGTGTCGGAGGGTGTGGCACGTCGTTTTGTTCGAGATGTGCACGTCTTCTTGGAGCAGTATGTGTAACTCTAGGCGTATGTAGTGCCCAGCCTGCGTGGGTTCAAGCCAGGAATTCACTCCGGCGTTAATTCAAGCGAGATCCCAGCATGTCGAAAGTGGCCCTCTGCACTAGCTTTGCGGCGACCGACAACCTCACACACTCCTCGAGGAAGGAGATAAAGTCGTCCTTGACAAAGTCAATCTGATCCTCCCAGACTTGCCTGATGTAGGACTTCAGTTCCCCAAAGAACTCCTCGATCGGGTCCAGGTCGGGCGAGTAAGGGGGCAAGTATAAGAGCACTACCCCCGCATTGTCGCACATCTGCCGCAGCCGCTCGGAGTAATGGAAGGACGCATTATCCATGATCAGCACGGACTTCGGGTTGGGCCATCTCCCGCAGTAGGGTAGAAGTTGCTCGATGAACTCGGCAAATGCCTGCGCATCAGTGGACCCCGTGTATGCTTGGAAGTGGACCACGCCATCCTGCGCGTAGGCGGGAAGTATTTGCACCCGCCGGCCTCGGTGGAACCGTTTGACCTGGCGTGGTCTGCTCCCTCGCGACGTCCAGCCTTTGTTCCTGGTCCCGACGCTTCGGTCCACGCCAGTCTCGTCAATGAACACCAGCTGATCAGACCTCATACAGGATATCTCATGCATATACTCGTCTCGCAGTCGTGCATTGCGCTCCTGGGCCACGGTTTGTGTCGACTTCCGTGACCACCCGACCGCCTTCAGGGCTCTACCGACGCTAAAACGGGTCATATCGGCTTCGAACTCGTCATTGAGGAATGCAGCCATGTCTTCTAAAACGCAAGGAGGTTTCGGATGCGAGCTTGTCAAGCAGTGCGGTCAACATGAGAGGAGATATGGACTTCGGTCGGCCACCACTGTTTGGCGGTGCCTTGGTCGATCCGATGAGGAGCACATTCGATCGGATGCGGCGTACGGATCGAGTGCAACAGTTGGCTGCACGGCCTATCTCTCTGTTCGTGAGCGTCTTGTCACCTTCTGACTTACTAGGATCATGTGATGAATAGCGAGATGCTGGGACCAGGCAAGATTTGGCGTCATCAGGGTAAACGCAGACCTCACGGGAAGGTTGACGAAGTCAGGAAATTGGCGAGGTGTCACTAGCGAGCCAGGCCAGTCATGGCCGACAGCCGGCTAAGCTGCGGTCAATATCGACCAGGTTTCTCATTTCTCGTCCTCAAGGTGGACCCGCTTTTCTTTCGCAGTGGGACGTGATCAGTGCTTTCCAGAGATTTAGAAAAGAGTGTGTACAGGAGGACGGGGGTTTCGCTCATAGCTGTACAAGGTCTGTGGTTGCAATTACAGTCACTAATTATAATACACGCTATAATCTTCTCTCCTGCCACTCTCCAAGAATTTGAGCACTGTACCAAGGACATCGTGAAATGCTTTAGGGATACAACTCTTGAACTCAACATTGCAGAGCCACCATCTCAATTACTGACTCTACCATGCCAGACATCTTCAAAAGATTCATAACGACCGTAGCTATTGTACCGTGCAAACGGGCTGCAGCTGTTACAAGTCCCTGCTTGGGTTGGATATTTGCTCAGGCAGCTTGAGCAAGTGAAATGACGAGTGCAATAGTTACGATACATAGTCGTACCTTCGCCAAAGCTCGCCTTGCAATAGTGACACAGTTGATCATCGGAGTCGATGCTTGCTAGAAACTCCGGTGTAGCCACGGCCGGGAACATCCCCTCAGGGTCGTCTGTGTTTCGCCATTTTGAAAGCGTTGCCATATTTTGCATCACGTCCCGCCGCACATCAGGCTTTTTGTCTTGAAGCTAACTTAAGCCTTCCGTTCGACAGGTTTCTAAGGAGTCATATATTGTTAGTGAAAGAGGTGCAGTGCCATGATTGTCTAGAGTCGCCTGCAGCATTTCGAGATAAGGCGGGCCGCCCTGGGAGTATTCATCATGCAGGATTTTTCTCCTGACAAGTCGAGTGTTCAAGGCCGGAAACTCTTTGATCCAACACTGCTGAAAGAAAACCCGCGGTCTCTTGTCGCGAAGAATACGGAAATTCTTCATATCTTCCGCCCAGTCCAATAAGTTGTTAGTCTTTGATGTTATTACTGAGGGCATCGGCGTGGTATGGGTGTCAAGAGGTGGGAGTGGAGGCCGGCTGGTCTGACTTCGCTGAAACCGGAAAATCTCCCACTGCCTGTCTGCAACCACTGCGGAACGCTATACTGTCGACCAGCCATGGTGCTGCTGTGCGGTTTATTTCAGAGCAAGATGAACAGCGCCGGCACAGGACTGCAGGAAGTGCCATTTTTGTATGATGTGCGGGTGACTGTAGATTGTACTAAACGGCGTTGCAGAGCTTCAGTTCTGGCTATATGCTCGCCGCCTTTTCTAGCTCATACCCACATCACGAGTCCTTACATGATGCTCTTGCTTGTCCTCCATCCGCAACTTTGTGATGGGGATCCCCACGTTCAGGTTCTGGCGAAACTGCTGGAGGACTGGGGACACCGAATGAAGGCGGCTCGCAACGGACGAAACGTCAGCCGCACAGAGCACACGCCCTTACGACGCGCAGATGGGCGGTAACAAATGCAGTGCCTCGCAAAATGCCTTTGTCGTAGTGTCAACGAGATCTGCCGTAACTCGATGCTAGGTACGACATGAGTAATCTTCTGTTTGGACTTGTCGCGGGCCCAGTAAGAACCCTGCTCGCTTGCTGGCGTCGTCGCCGAAACAGGGAATGATTGGTGCCTGGGCGCAGGCCCTCTGGCTGCCTCCTCCTCCGCTACCCAATCAACAGGTCCCTAGTGGCGCTGTTCGGCCAGCGCAGGGCGTCCCAGCCCCAGTCGCGTCCAACCATGTCGTCCGTTGTGAGGCTGCCGTTGTCCCCCTCAGGCGGCTGTGCTGTTCGCCCACCGGTGGCAAGCATGCATCGACAGCTCAGCCCGTTGACCTTCCATTCCCCGCAATGTGACCTTTTGATTGTGTTCTCTCCATCCAACGAAATTACGACACTCGACATGCGCTCGGCGAACGTGGACTAATATGGAAGGGCTCGGTATTGCGGCGAATGTCATCGCGGTCGTAGACCTGTCCGTTAAAGTCGCTGACCGGTGTCTCGACTACTCCAAGGGTGTCAAGAACGCCAAGGATGACATCGCGCGACTATGCAAGGAAGTTGCCGCGCTCCAAAGCGCCGCAAATGGTGTCAATGAGCTGCTTATTGGACCAAGCGGCGAGAGGCTGAGAGCTTCGCAGCAGCTATGCAACACCGTCCGTTACTCCCGGTCGCAGCTGCAAGCGGTGTATGAGCGGCTTCGCCCAAAGACGGCGCGCGAGGCATTGACACGGCTTGGGCTCCGCGCCCTTAAATGGCCATTCCAAAGCAACGAAGTCGAAAAGATCGTCCAAGACATTGGGCGATGCGCGCAGGCTATGAATTTGGCATTGCAAGTTGATCAGACGTACGGTACATCGGGTCACAACCACAAATGCGAAGCTAACGAGGGTATGCTTAGGAATCTTCTGTTCGATCTGGATCGGAAGACTGTGCTCGCTCGTCTCGATAATGAAATTGCCGCCGGCGCTTCATTCGACTCTCGCGCTGAAGAACATAACCCGACGTGCTTGCGGAATACCCGAGTCGACCTTCTTCGGAAAATATCGAAATGGGCACACGACCCCGGCGCGGAAGCAGTCTTCTGGCTCAATGGTATGGCCGGCACTGGGAAGTCAACCATATCTCGTACCGTCGCTCATACTTTTGCCGGTGCTGGCCATCTCGGGGCCAGTTTTTTCTTCAAAAGGGGCGAGACCGATCGAGGGAGCATGTCCAAGTTCGTCTCCACAATAGCAGCGGATCTGACAAGGAATGTTCCCGCCATCGCCCCGTACGTGAAGGACGCCATTGACGGCGACCCTGCTATCTTGAGAAAGACAATGCGAGAGCAGTTTGAGAAGCTCGTTTGGCACCCAATGTCGCTGATCCCGGCCGCCTGGCCGAACCAAGGACCAATCGTCATCATACTCGATGCACTCGATGAGTGTGAGCCTGATGACGGTATTAAACTCATGATAGATCTCTTATCTCGCGCGAGGACGCTGCAGCTTGTGCGGCTGAGAGTCTTTATTACCAGCAGACCCGAACTGGCAATTCGTCTTGGGTTCAAGGCCATTGAGGGCAAGTACCAGGACTTGAAACTTCACGATATCCCGGAACCCGTGGTCGAACACGACATAAGCGCCTTTCTGAACCACGAGCTAGCGAGGATCCGAGACGAATACAATGCTTTGGTGGCGGAAGACCGGCAGCTAGCCAGAGATTGGCCCGGGCCGTCCGATGTCGAGACTCTACTAAAAATGGCCATTCCACTCTTTATTGTTGCTGCTACGGTCTGCCGCTTCATTGCTGATCGAAGGATTGGAACTCCCAATAAACAGCTGAGGAAAGTTCTTCTTTCTCAAGCAGGGGGGCAAGTATCACAACTTGGTGCAACGTACCTGCCCGTCTTGGATAGCCTGATTACCGGGTCATCTGCGGCTCAACGAGAGGAAATCGTCGAAGAATTTCGAAGCATTGTTGGTGCTATCGTTATCCTCGCAAGTCCCTTGTCAACAACTTCGCTAGCGCGGATCCTGGACGTTTCCAGAGATGATGTTGACGGCAGGTTGGATCTGTTGCACTCCGTCCTTAGCGTCCCCTCGTCGCCAGAGGCACCCGTGAGACTGCTTCATCTATCTTTCCGTGACTTCTTGCTAGACCCCAAGCAAAGGGCCGCGAATGCATTCTGGGTAGACGAGAAGTCAACTCATTGGTCGATGGCACGGCACTGTCTGCGTGTGATGCAATGCCTTCGGCAAGATATCTGTGGTGTCAAAGCACCTGGCACCCGCCGACTGTCTGTCGATCCACGCAAGATAAATGCATGCCTTCCACCAGATGTTCAATATGCTTGTCTATACTGGGTGTACCACCTGCAAAGAGCAGGCACCAGTTTTGTTGATGGCTCACAAGTTTACCGCTTTCTGGAGCATCATTTTCTTCATTGGATAGAATCATTGAGTATCATAGGAAGGGCTGGGGAAAGTGTTGGTCTTGTCGGGAAGTTGCAGTCACTTTTCAAGGTCCGGTCCAAACCTCACGGCGCGTGTGATGTGGTAAAACTAACTCCAAGCCAGCATCGGGGTGACAGACAACTCTGCGAGTTTCTCGACGACGCTAGGCGTTTCATTCTTGCTAACGCTTACGCTATTGACTCTACACCACTCCAGCTATATTCCTCTCTCCTCATCTTTTCGCCGACAAGATGCAGGGTACGCAACATATTTGAAAGCAATCTTGCGCGATGCTTAGATCTGCAACCAAAAGTAAATGACGATTGGGGCCAATGCCTGCAAGTAATTGAGGGCCATGACGACAAGGTTAGCTCGGTAGCCTTTTCCCATGACTCGGCTCTTGTGGCTTCGGGCTCCCACGACAAGTTAATACGCCTCTGGCGTGTGGCCACGGGTCAGTGTATACAGGTGCTTAAGGGCCATAGCGACTTGGTCGCGTCGGTCATCTTCTCGCATGAGTCCGCGCTCGTTGGGTCAGGGTCTTGGGATAAGACAGTACGACTCTGGCGTGCTGCCACGGGCGAGTGCGTGCAGATAATTGACGGCCATGACGGCTGGGTTACGTCAGTGGCCTTCTCGCACGACTCAGGGCTCGTAGCATCGGGCTCCTATGATACGACTATCCGCCTCTGGCGCACTGCCTCGGGCAAGTGCGTGCAGATCCTCAAGGGCCATGACAACTCGGTTGAATCGGTGGCTTTCTCGCACGACTCAGCGCTCGTGGTATCGGGATCGCGGGACAAGACGATCCGCATCTGGCGTGCTGCCACCGGAGAGTGTACGCGGATCCTCAAGGGCCACGTCGACTGCGTCTGGTCGGTGGCATTCTCGCACAATTCGGCCCTCGTGGTGTCATCGAGTTCTAATGACAAAATGATACGTCTCTGGTGTGCGGCTACCGGTGATTGCGTGCGGACGCTTAAGGGCCCTGACGGCTACTCATTCGAATCCGTCGCCTTTTCGCACGACTCAGCTCTCGTAGCATCAGGTTCCAACGATAAGACGATATCACTCTGGAGTGTTGCCACAGGCGAGTGTGTGCAGTCGCTTAAGGGCCATGGGGACTGGGTCGCGTCCGTTACGTTCTCGGACGACTCGGCGCTCGTGGCCTCGGGCTCCTCTGACAAGACTGTTCGGCTATGGCGCGTGGTCATACGTGAGTTCGTGGAGACGGTCGAGGGTCATGACAACCAAGTTACGTCTATCGTATTCTCGCACGACTCTACGCTCATTGCGTCAGGGTCTTGGGATAAGACAATAAGACTCTGGCGTGCGGCCACGGGCGAGTGCGTGCAAACGCTTAGGGGGCACGCTGGCCCGGTGACGTCTGTGGCCTTCTCGCACGACTTGGCGCTCGTGGTGTCGGGCTCCGGGGATAAGGCAATATATCTCTGGAGCGTGGCGACAGGCGAGTGCGTGCAGACGCTCAAGGGCCATAGCGACTCAGTCTGGTCCGTAGAGTTCTCGCACAACAAGACACTAGTAGCGTCAGGTTCGCGCGACAAGACCATACGCCTCTGGCGTGTCGGCCCGGACCACTGCGGCGAATGTGTGCAGACGCTCAAGGGCCATGCCCACTGGGTCACGACCGTCGCATTCTCGCACGAGTCGGCGATGCTAGCTTCGGGCTCGGGCGATACGACGATCCGGCTCTGGCGAACCGATACAGGCCAGTGCTTGCAGACGCTTATGGGCCATGGTGGATGGGTCAACTCAGTGGCGTTCTCGCATGACTCAGCGTTGATGGCGTCGAGCTCCAACGACAAGACATTAAGAGTCTGGCACGTTGCCACGGGCGCTTGCGTGCAAACGCTCAACATTGAATTTGTTCCAGCCCGCGTCTCATTTGAATCCGGCACTTCATGCTTGCTGACAGATTATGGCATTGTCGATATTCAAACGATGATCCCTAAAAGCTGCAAGGCTGAGCGTTTTATTGATCCTCACCCTCTCTGTCGATCAATTTGTGGCATAAGCAAAGACAGTTGCTGGATCACATGGAATGGACAAGACTTATTTTGGCTGCCGAAAGAATATCGGCCGTCTGCCTCAGCCATCTCAGGGTCGACAGTCGTAATTGGATGCAGCTCCGGGAGGGTAATAGTATTAGCATTTTCCCAGGATGACATCACGCCTATGGAACTTTAACTAATGATCGAAATTTAAATTTGAAATTATGCCTGGATTCTAAGAATCATATCACGAGTCACGAGATCTTGGCAGATAGTAATGTTTGCCAACATGATGGTGGCGCGTGGCTGTCCGCCGCCATCCGCCGCCAATAGGACGCCCCGCAGGGAGATGTAAATTACCACAATCGGTTAAGCTGTGGCTAACACGGAAGGTGTACTCGTCCACAGATCACATAAGCATATTCGCTCC